TTAGCAAATTATTGGTCTTTTACTTTGCATTTCTTGATGGTCAATGAAGTTGAACATTTTTAATGTAATTGTTTTCTATCAGTATATCTCATTTGGTGAAGTTTTCTGCTATTATTCTTTGACTATTTTCTAATTGGAGTTTTCGTAAATGTTGAGATTTGAGAGTTCTTTACTCTAAGCACAAGTCCTTCGTTGGCTAGCGCATTGCACAATGCTTACTAGCATCAGATGTGGAAGAGTGTGAGACATCTGTCTCCATGCTGGAGACCTGAAGGATCCACTCAAGGGCTTGGAGCCACGGCTGTGCCCCCAGCAAGTCTGTCACAGGAGTCTGATGATCCATGATGGGAGACCAGAGGGCTGCACCAGAGTGGCCCAAGGGCCAGGGCTGGAAGCTGAAGTGTTGGCACTAAAAGGCTAATGATCTGAGGTGGATGGCTGAGGGGCCTGCGCTGGAAGCCAGGAGACGACATCCAAGATGAAGACGAGGGTTGAAGCTCCCAGGAAGAAATAAAGAAGCCAAAGCTCCTCTGAAAAAAAGTCTAAAACTGTCCCACACAAAGCAGCCACAACAAAGCTCCTTCAAAGACCAGCTGAAATCCTTCCTGCCATTCTCATTTTATACTATTCCAATAACCATGCTGACTTAAATCAGCTGTGCATTCCCACTCAAGTTGACAATTAGTCACTTCATTCTCATAGCTGGCAAACATTTCCTCCTTGTCCATAGCTTTCTTATCCTCCTAACAGTCTTTCATAGAGCCAGCATTCTTAATTCTTCTGCTTCTTTATCTTTGCTGTTTCTTTATGATTGGTTTCTAGTTTCATTCTACAATGGCCTAATGGTAAACATGAATGATTCTGATTCTTTTATATTTATTTAAGCAAGTATTTTGGACTAGTATGTGAAGGCTGCTGTATGTGCTGCAGAGAATACATACTCTGTTTATTAGGATAGAACACTATCGTATCTATTAAGTCCATGTTGGAGGCTATGGTTCAGCTGTGCTATTTCTGCCTGATTTTTTAAGTTGATTTATCTCTTTGAAAAAGTTGTGC